AAAAATTAAAGATTATTCGGTAAATATATGTTATATTTACGATAATAAACTGAAATCACGTTGATTTTTTGCTCCATATTGTGACTTACAATATCTAAATGCACAAACGGGCATACTTTCTTTAAAAATATTTTTTAAATATATGAAACGAATGCGTCTTGACTTTTTGACGATGTCACTAAGACTAAATGAAAAAAATCGGAGATATATCCTATAGGACATAAGTTACAGACGACAATTTTGCTGCTGATGTCCGGTCTATTACTATCACTACTTAAATGTCTTTGGTGAGATGTTAACTCTGTAAAGATATTGAATATAAATGAATTCATTATTTCAAAGTATTATGCACGGTTTTTGATCATCATTGAAAAGTAAGTTAAGTGTTGTGCAAATGAAAAGCACAAAATCATGTGATCACTGTCTGCAGGTTTCCTATGATAGGAAAAGAAAAACTTATGACAATATTGTGGTAAGTCTATCAACATTTTGAATTAATTGACCGTTATTTGTAGGGATTATTACTATATTGCTTCGAATTGTATCTGTTTCAGATCACGTATTTGGGCTGAGTTAAGTTTCCATCATGAGAATTATGCTGATTTAAATTTACGTTAATGTTCTGTGAAGAATAACTCTCTGACAATATATCAGTGACAAGCGTGGAAATATTATTTACAAAAGCAATAAAACCATCAACAATAATGTATAGTTTATAAAAAAATCTGTCTTCCAGAAAATAAAATTACATAACTATACTTATTTATAGTTTTATTTTATCCCACATACTAATATAAAGTATATTCGAGTAATTTTGGTGCAACATGTCAAATACGAGTATATGGGAATTTACCCCATAGGTTTGTTAGGCTTGAGCCAAAATTACTCGAATATGCCTTAATAAAAAAATTAAAGTTACAGATTACAAAGGTTTGAAATTCCCGGCATTCTAAAACGTTTTATATGGGCGTCCACCGTAGCGCTTTTAGTGTACACTCATAAACACGTGTTTCCTTTTTTAAGTATAAAGTTGGCGTTCTTCTCTTGGTAGAGAGTAATTGTGTTCTGTGCTGCAGTCTTTCAAAAATATGACAGCATACAGGCAACTGAATAGACAGATTTACAAACGCATGCCGCTCGTATTAAGTAACATCAATACATAATTGAGAAGTATCTCCGTCGGAATAAGCCAGCAATCAAAGTTGAAGATCGACTACGGTAAAGTCATTTCCGGGACACTTAAAATTTTGGGTGAAATTTACAGGTTTTACGGATAGCTGCTCATTGGAGCTAATTGTAAGTGTGAGTAACTATCTAAATGCAAGTCTCATCAAATACTATCCCGGACTTCAGGAGGTGTTGAACAGAAATGCGGTGGTCTTGTTTCTCAAAAGTTGACAAACCTCTTGTTTAGGCCAAATCGTAACATTGTAAAAACTTGGATTCAAGACGCACGTCTCGGCGTGTTCGCCCGATGAAATTTAAAGGTCACCACCGGCCCCCTCTCCTGCGAGCGGGTCTCTCGGCTCACCGCTCGGTCGCGAGACAGGTGGGCAATTTAGTTGGGCTCGGACGCAGTGTCGATTAGACGGAATTTACTATCGAATAGTTGGGTCTCCTTAACCCAGATAAGCCTGAAACTAAAATTTTCTGAAAATTTTGAAAAAAGTTACATTATTTAGTTTATTAGATCTTATGCAACATAAAAAAAATTATGAAAAAAAAAATTAAGTGTAAGGCTTTCAGGGAAATAGCCGTCCTATATGTAGGACAGTAGGATAATAAGAGGAAATAAAAGACCATTTATGACAAAACAGAATGTAATTAAAAAGTGTAGTTTATTAGATAACTATTGATTATATTACCCATTGTTATATGTTATTTACTAGATTAACACTATTTATGAATGATATGTTTCAAAACACTTGACACCCACTCCAACATCACATTTCTTGCAACGTGTCAAACATTTTTTGTGACATTGACGACAGCGTGTTTGCTTCGATTGAGGAATAACCAGATGATTCATTTGGTCTTTACGACTATCAGCATGTTCATGATGGGAGGGTCGGCTAGGCCCTCTTTTGGCATTTTTTCTGTTTGATTCAATCAAAGCAATTGCTACCCTTCTGCGAAAGCCAAGATGATCCAGTTTTCCATGATTTATTTTATATAACTGCCATGCATTATGTTCGGCAAGATCAATCATGTGTGTGAGCAACGGCATGTACCTTTTCTTACCTCGTATACCAATTCAGTAATGTGAAATATTTTCATCAGACCGATCCACTCCTCCCATATATTTGTTATAGATGGACACCATATGTGGTTCTTCTATGACAATGTTTCTCTTTTCACTTTGTGAGAAGCGTTTGGCAGATTGTTTAGGATTTATTCCTACAGCATTAGAAGCAATACTGAATATATTATTGTCATGCCATTTAGCAATAATGAACGTGTTGTCATGTGTCGTTCTGTAATCGACAGCACCACGTTCCTTTTTTTTTCAGTAACTTCGATGTAATCAGAGGACAACTAGATGTCCTGTTTTCTCGAACTGTCCCAGTGCAACGAAGGCCTTTCTTTGTTATCTCTTCCAGCAAGGGCGTCCCAGTAAAAAAATTATCAAAAACTACTTGGTAAGGAAGGTCGAAGCCACGTGAAATCAGCACATCGCAAAAAGTGAGAACAACGCTTGCACCCAGCCCCAATTCTTTATATATTGGATTGCACATAGTTGTAGCACCTTGGTATGGTTCCATCCATAAAACATACCCTAACCGTGTAGCACCAACCCAAGCTTTGAACCCGTACCTAATAGGTTTACCTTTTATGTGCTGTTTGCAGCCATGTCTACCATAGTAGGGGATCATGGCCTCATCTACACTGTAATGCTCTTCAAGAGGAGAAAACTCTAAGAACTTTTTATTTAGAAGTGTAACTAGGGGGCGTACTTTTGTGTATTTGTCTTGCAAATCCAGATTATCATTGACATGAAGGTGGCGAAAAATAAAGTCAAATCTATCCCTAGTCATAGCCGAGCTGATCAATTCATTCTTTGTATCAGGGGAGTTTTCCCAATACATTCTTTTACGGGGGAGCCATGAATAACCACTAACCAACAATATGCCGATGAAACATTTCATATCTTCAGTGGTTATGTCTCCAGGCAAATTCTTTTTGACAGCATATTTATTGCTCTCTGACACCAACAACGAAATAACATCTTCATCTAAGAAGTTTTCAAACCACTCAATTAGGCGCTTATCTTGGCAAGCGCCTTGAACATCTGGCCAATTCACGGGATTTTTTGCCAAGTCCCGTTTTCTCCATGCGTAGGTACGCCTACGTTTAGTTCGACCTGTAGAATCAGAAGGTTCTTCTTCTGTATCACTCACCATAATCTGCCCTTGAATCATTACTTCAGCCGGTTGAAGCAGAATGTTTCGTGGCAAATTATTCAAAGTTACATTATCTTCTTCACCCGAATCTTCGTCAGTGAGACAGTCAGGATCAACAGGAGGAGGTAGAATACATATTAGTCGTTCTCTATAATCTTCTTCATTATCAGAAACATTTTCTAAAGCATCTAAAATTTCATGCGCAGCTAACGGTCTGTAAAGAAAAAGTTGTATTATTGTACTAAAATCATGTATATTATCCTACTGTCCTATATATAGTACGCTAGTATTTGTAACAAGTTATACGTAATTTATTTATATTATTTTGCTAGAATATTTATTTAGTACAAAAGTTAAGGTTATCAACTAGATATTAACACAGAAAAAAACAACTCACGAGTAAAATATAACTTTTTATACATACCTGTCATTTGCCATGTCTGCAACGCACTTTTATTACACACTTATAAGGTAAAATATAAGGTAAAAACTGTTAAAATAACTGTCTTTTTATTTTTTCTAATAAAGCTGACACGTTTCTTACTGCAAATCATAAGACTAAATAATCTTAGATAAAGAGGTTATTCTGATATTGTTTTTTATTTCTACTGTCCTAAATATAGGACAGTAGGCTTATCTGGGTTAAGACCGCCTCCTTTGCATTTTTTTGGCTAAGTGCCTTCTTAAAAAGCTCTGGATATCCGGGTTGGGTTGGGACGAGCCTATTAGCGGTGCTCTCTTGCGAGAGTGGCACTCCATTGTGTCGTCCCTTCCGGACATCAACCGGGTCTCCATGCCAAGGTGCTTCCTCCCTCCAGGGAAATGCAGGGCTACCCTACATGAAATTTGCGACGCCTATGAGATGGGCTATGCTGCTGTCGAATATTTGAGGACTGTCAGCTCTTCTGGCCATACTTCATTCCATCTCGTACTTGCTAAAAGCAAGGTTGCTCCCATTAGGTCCCGCTTAACTATCCCTAAATTGGAACTGTCCGGAGCTGCTCTTCTCACGCGACTCCTCAACTACGATCACTCGTCTTTGAAGACTGTAATCGACATTACGGACGTCTACGCTTGGTCGGACAGTGAGATAGTAATTTGTTGGCTCAGAGCTGCACCTCACAATCTTGAGGTCTCTGTGGCGAACTGCGTGTCTCATATCCAGAAATCTAGGACGTCTTTTAACACGTTTGACGCCGCGTCGGACAATGGTGGTTGACGCCCTATTTTCATCTGGAGCCAGACAAACATTAATATTTTTTCCAAATTTCATTAGTGTGTTTTATTGGTTTAAGGGATACATTTGACGTCACAAAACATGTCTTAACTCTCACAAGAAACATTTTATACCTATTTTAAGTGTTAATAAGCGTCACCCACCATTGACCGACACGGCCTCTGCGCAAGGAATACCGGGAATCTGTTACAGGGGGCCGCGCGGGCACGACGACGCCCACTACACGCGACCGCGCCGCTCTCGCACATCGCGCGTACTTGCGCCCCGGCAAGCGGCTAATCGCTGTTACTTCGTAGCGCAGTAATCACGTGTTTACAGTTATATTATAAGGTAGATCGTGTTTGTAACTTTACGTCATAACGATGGACTTCGATGACTTTGAGATTAGCCAAGAAGACCTGTCTCGAATAGATAATATAGAAATTACTCTCCTTAACCAAAGCTTTCAAATAAGCTCTGATGAAGACGATAACATTCAACTTTTGCGACCAAGACTGCGTCGAATCATCTTATCAGATAGTGAGTCAATAGAAACTGAAATTAATCGTGCCATTCAAGATTTAGCGGAGAGTTCGCCACCCTCAACATGGACCGATCCCAAAGGTAATCAACGCCAATTGATAGCTTTTACCGAAATTCCTGGTGCGCCGTTGCACATACGCAGGCTTATGACTAACAAATCCCCAGCAGAATTTTATGCGCTTTTGGTAACGGATGATGTTTTTAATGAAATAGTAAAAAACACTAATAACTTTGCAATTGCTAAAATAGTTAACTCACATGAAGCTACAAAATGTGCACGCATTCGGAACTGGGCACCTACTAACCTTGTGGAAATAAAAAAATTCTTTGGTTTGGTTTTGTTTATGGGCTTGGTGAAATTACCTAAAATATCAGACTACTGGTCCAAAGATGTAATTATGGGACAAAATTTCCCAAGAACCGTTATGTCTCGTAATCGGTTTGAAATATTGCTTCAAATGCTACATTTTTCAGAACAAGATGAGGAGAACAAAGCTGATCGATTACACCGGGTAAGAAATTTATTGAATGTAATAAATCACAATTTTAAGGAAAACTACATCCCTGGTGAGGATTTATGTATCGACGAGAGTGTTGTGCCTTTTCGAGGACGCATAATCTTTCGTCAGTATAACAAACAAAAGCGTCATAAATATGGAGTAAAACTATTTAAATTATGTACATTGCCAGGTTACACCTATAAAATTAATATTTATGCTGGTAAACAGAATGACGAAATTAACACTACACCTACAAATGTAGTTATGGAACTATGTAATGACTTGCTCGACAAAGGACACACTCTATTCACAGATAATTGGTACACAAATATCGAATTGGCAAGAAAGCTATTAAATAGAGAGACACATCTTGTTGGAACATTGAGGAAAAACAGGAAATATTTTCCTAAAACAGTCGTTTCTACAAAGTTGAAAAAGGGGCAATTTATAGCTAAAGAAAGTGCTGATGGAATAACAGTGATGCGATGGAAGGATAAACGAGATGTGTTAATTTTGTCCACAAAACACTCGACGCGTTTTGTGAGAGTGGTAAAACGTAACAAAGTTATCTTGAAACCTGCAATTATTGTCGACTATAATAAAGCTAAAGGTGCCGTTGATTTGTCTGATCAAATGTCAGCGTACCAAACACCACTTAGGAAAACTGTGAAGTGGTATAAAAAAGTGGCCATGGACTTAATCTTGAATGTAGCTGTTGTAAACGCACTCACTCTTTACAAAAGTGTAACAAAGAAGAACATTCCTATTGTAGATTTTAGAAAAGAAATTATGATAGATTTCCTAACAAAAGGCATAACGTCCGAACCTTCTCCATCGAAACCGAAGAGAGCTAAACATGAACTGGCGAAAAAAGAAGGATCATCTAAAGTCGTTCGACGGCAATGCCAACAATGTTATAAGCAGAACGTAGCCACCCTGGGACGCTTAGGAGCTAGGAATAAGACAAAGAAAGTCACTACTTTTTGTAAAACATGTCCAAATGAACCTTTTTTATGTCCCGAATGTTTTATTAAAATACACTAAACTTTGTCAATTTATCTTTTTCTGTACCTCATTTTTACAATAAATTTTTATATGCGCGTCAAAATTGTTTTATTTGTAATCTATACCAATATTATAAAGAGGATAGATTTGTTTGAATCTACTGAACTGATTTTAATAATTCTTTCGCCGATAGAAAACTATATTACGCAGAAGTGGCAGCGTATACTTTTTACTGTAGGAAATTGTTTCATTCCTACGGAAAAATATATTACGCGCGAGCGAATCCTCGAGCGGAAATCTAGTATTTTTTATTCGATCTAACATTGCGAATTCTAGTCCATGTTTTGGTCAAAATTGTTCTAACCTTAAACGCTATTTTTGTATACAATTATAATAATAGTCTATTATAGTGAAAATTAGAGGTCACAAGTAAAAACACGAGATATATTTTAGAGTTGTCTTGTTTGCAAAAACCAAGCTAAATAGGATAAAATGCAGAGCCGCGCGGGTCCCCTGTCATACAAAATTGAAAGACTTTTCTGTCCGTTGGCCTACAGTCGCAGTTTAAAAACACGTCTGACGCGCGGTCACCATTGGGCGACGCGGCCCGAACAGAAATGTTTGTTGTCGCCCAACAGTGACCGCCACGGCCTGAATGAAAAAGACATATTTTGTTATTGGCAGAGAACGTGTTAACTAGAGACATGTCCCAAGGGAGTAGAATCCCGCAGACTGCGCTTCTCGCGGCTGTGAAGCCCCCTCTTTGGTTGACCGAATCTCTGATTACGTTTTGTCTCCTAGCGAGCGTCGCGAAGCTTTGATGCATTGGACCCGTATGAGCCAAGCGGAACATTTTGATCCCGTGATTGAAACCTTGAAACGGGGCTCCTTTGTCAAGTGCGCTCTGGCCCGTCTGAACCTCTTCCTAGGCGACGCTGGGATGCTGCGCGTTGGCGGACGTTTGAAAAATTCTTAACTGCCGTACGGGGCTCGACACCCGTTACAGCTCCCTAAAGACGGCGCCTTTGTTCGGTTGCTGGTAACTCACCATCATGTTAAGAACGCCCACGCTGGATGTAACGCTCTTTCGGCTCTTTTGCAGCGGGAGTTTTGGATTTTGGCTGGCCGACGCACCATTCAGAGCATCATCTTTAAGTGCATATCTTGTTATAAACTGTAGGCCACCATATCGCAGCCTATGATGGGAGACTTGCCACCCGACCGCGTCAGGGCCATCCGACCATTCGCTGAGCCGGAACAGACTTTGCTGGCCCCTTCCTCATTAAGTCCTACAACCTTCGTAACGCGCGTTCACATAAGGCCTATCTATGCGTTTTCATGTGCCTCGCCACTAAGGCCGTTCACTTATAACTTGTAAGTGCCTTCAGCACTGACGTCTCTTTGGCCACGCTGGGCTGCTTCGTATCGCGTCGCGGTTTGCCGAACCTGATCCGGTCTGATTGCTGAACGAATTATAAGGGCACGGATAGATATTTGAAAGAGGTCGTCGAATTTCTGTCCAGCAATAGGACTTCCATCCATTCGAAATTCGATCCTCCGACTTTCCCACACTGGGGCGGTATTTTTGAGGCGGTGGTTAATGTTGCAAAAACGCATCTCCGTCGCGTTATTGGCGAAACTATTTTGACCTTTGAGGAGCTTGCCACTGTATTCTGTAAAATTGAGGCGGTACTCAACTCTCGGCCCCTCTGCCCCCTCTTGTCCGATCCAAATAATTTGGAGGTTCTAACCCCGGGCCACTTCCTGATTGACCAGCCGCTTAACGCCCTGCCCGAGTACCCTTTCAGGGAAATAAACTCTTCGCGGTTGATCAGATTTGACCTGCTGCATCAGATGACTCAGAGTTTTTGGCATCGATGGTCTCTGGAGTACCTACATCTTTTGCAGCAGCGCGTTAAGTGGCCTGACAAGACGGATCCTCCTCAGGTTGGAGACCTCGTGTTAGTTAAAGAACGCAATGCTTTGCCTTTGTATTGGCGCCGTGGGCGCATTGTTAAGTTGTCGTATGGATCGGATGGGGTGCCTAGGGTGGGCGAAGTTTTGGTAAGAGATTCGGTCTTGCAACGTGCCGTAGCGATCCTATCCCGTTTGCCAATTTACTCGCGAACATAAGTACTTATGCCCGGGACGGGGGTTTGTTTAGGCCAAATCGTAACATTGTAAAAACTTGGATTCAAGACGCGCGTCTCGGCGTGTTCGCCCGATGGAATTTAAAGGTCACCTGCGGCCCCCTCTCCCGCGAGTGGGTCTCTCGGCTCACCGCTCGGTCGCGAGACGGGTGGGTAATTTAGTTGGTCGCGGCCGCAGTGTCGATTAGACGGAATTAACTATCAAATGGTTGGGTCTCGTTAAGACCGCCTTATTTGCCTTGCCTTATTTCTTTCGTATATGTGACAAGAGGCTTTCCTTGAGTTTTGAGTGATTAATTTAGCTTCGATTGCCATTAATTTGCGTCGACTAATTGTTGTTTGTGTTGTATTTTAATATCGTACGAAGGAATTTTGCTTTGTCGTATGGAACGCTAAAACTTTGTGACTCGAGAGGAGATCGCGTGTGCTCGATTATAATTTGGTGCTAAGTGAACATGGAACATTAAACTTTGACCGACTGTTCTTAAGTTGTGCAGCGTGTCACTTGTTTTAATTTCGATTAAGGTTGATTTAGTTAAATTTGAAGTTTTTTTTTTTTTTTTTTTTTTTTTTTTTTTTATAGGAGAGGGGGCAAACGAGCATGCGGCTCACCTGATGGTAAGTGACTACCGCCGCCCATGAACAACCGCAACACCAGGGGAATTGCATATGCGTTGCCGGCCTTTTAAAAAGGAGTAGGCTCTTTTCTTGAAGGTCCCTAAGTCATATCGGTCCGGAAAAATCGCTGATGGTAATCGATTCCACAAGGAAGTCGTGCGAGGAAGAAAACATCTTCTAAATCGCACAGTGGTGGACCGCCAATCATCCAGATGGTGTGGATGGTATCGGGAGTTCTGCCGCGATGTGCGTTCATGAAATTTGGCGGCTGGGATTAATCCGAACAATTCCTCAGAGCACTCCCCATGGTAGATGCGAAAGAAAATGCAAAGAGATGCAACATCTCTTCGCAGTGCCAATGAATCGAGCCGATCGGAAAGGGCTCGGTCGTCGACGATTCGAGCCGCTCTGCGCTGGATGCGGTCAAGTGGAAGGAGCTGGCACTGGGGAGCCCCTGCCCAGAGATGGGAACAGTATTCCATGTGAGGCCGAACCTGCGCCTTGTAAAGTTGCAGGCGGTGTGCCGGCATGAAATACTGTCCCGCTCTGCTGAGCACGCCAAGCTTTTTAGAGGCCAATTTGGCTTTCTCTTCCAAGTGACCACGAAACTGCACGTCACTCGATATGTCGACTCCGAGGATACCGATACTGGCTGAGGCAAGAAGGGGAGTGCCTTGAAACTGAGGAGATACGACAAAGGGGTTCTTTTTAGCGGTAAACGCGCAAACTTGTGTCTTCTGAGGATTAAACTGGACTAGATTTAGTCGCCCCCAATCCGAGACTTTGTCCAGCAAAGACTCGACTTCAGACACAAGTTTGTTCCGGTACTCGGCGACGTTTTCCCGAGAAATATTGGCCCGGCCGGTGTATAGAGCATCACCAGTGCTGTCATCCGCATAGCAATGAATGTTACCAGTTAGCAACATATCATTGATATGCAGAAGAAACAGCGTTGGTGATAGCACACAGCCTTGTGGAACACCAGCGTTAATAGACTTGTAGTCAGAACATGCACCGTCTACAACGACCTTGATGCTCCGATCTGCAAGGAAGCTGGTGATCCAATTGCACAATTTCTCGGGAAGCCCATAGGAAGGGAGCTTCGAAAGAAGCGCTTTGTGCCAAACCCGATCGAAGGCCTTCGCAATGTCCAGACTAACGGCCAACGCCTCCCCCTTGGACTCTACTGCCTCCGCCCATCTATGGGTCAGGTAGACTAGAAGATCACCAGCTGATCGACCCCGACGAAAACCGTATTGGCGGTCACTGATCAGCTGGTGATCCTCAAGGTACCGGATGAGCTGGCAGTTAATAATGGATTCCATTATTTTGGAGAACAAGGAGGTGATCGCGATAGGCCTATAGTTGGACGGGTCTGAGCGGTCGCCTTTTTTAGGGATCGGGTGGACAAAAGCTGTCTTCCATGAGTTCGGGACAACGCCATGGGAGTAGGAGTACCGGAAAAGACGCGTTAGAACCGGTGCCAACTCCGGAGCACACGTCCTCAGCACAATTGGGGGGATTCCGTCAGGCCCACTCGACTTGTGGATGTCAAGGGAGAGGAGTGCTCTGCGAACCGAGCGCTGTGAGAATAGCACATCCGGCATAGAGCACTCACACCGCGGGATGGTCGGCGGTGTGTTCCCCCCGTAATCAACAGTCGAGTTGGACGCAAAAAGGGAGCCTAAAAGGTCGGCCTTCTCTTTTGCGTCGTGGGCCAGTGAGTCGTCCTCCCTGTGCAGAGATGGTAGTGATGGCTTACAGAAATTCCCTTGGACAGCCTTGGCGAGAGACCAGAATGCACGGGTTCCCGAAGGAAGGCCAACTAGTTTCTCGCCAATTCTGCCTATGTGCTCTGACTTTGCCTTGGCAATAACTCTTTTGAAGGACCTGGAGGCGAAGTTATACTTCTTTTTAAGTGTGCTGGTGTTTACATCCCGAGTCACCGAAGCCGCAGCCCAGGCTTGATAACACACTTGATAAGTTAATTAAATGTACAATAAAGTTGATAAACTAATATAGTGAAATAAAAGCAGAAGGTTTCAATTGGTGAACGCCCACTGGAGAGATCGCATATTTTGGAGAAAAGCAGCGCCTGTGGATCTGATGTCGGATTGCATCGGTGACGTCAGGTTACATTTCTTACACACTTTCGCACACTACTTACATACACCTTACTTACCACCTGACTGATACCCTGTGGTCAACCCTACCTCCGGAACTCGGTAAGTTTGTGTTTGCTTACCAGCCATTAGTTAATTATCCATAGGC